GGTTCGATTTGGTCATGGGCCCGATAATGATACCGAACTGATCCTTGATCGGACTTGGAGCTCTAATCCCGAAGCCCTTTCTTCGGATCTCGACCTGACCTTACGTAGATACCTTTCGATCGAAGTATTGTTATCTCGACCAGTCTGTACGACTGACTTAATAGGTTTCGACTGCATACATACTTATAGTTTCAAAATTCTCATGTTACAAACATCCAAGCTAAAAAGACCATTGATCATCTCATTCTTGAAAGTGATACTGCCAATGCAGTTTTCCTATCACTCTTTGAGTATGAGGATTCAGAACTGGAAGAATGTCAATAGATATAACATCATGATTAAATGTATGCAACAGATGTGTGGAAGACAAAATGTGCTACGGAATATGTCAACACATTCTCCACATAATTCGAATGTTATACGTGGTAACTTGTAGAAATGAAGAATCCTTCCTATTTACTGTTTTAACTAGTGGGAAGCAGTGTGGGGCTCAGGCACAAGCGGTGTCACGTGATATCGCTTTGTCGAATTTTTTTCGTAATTTTATGTATAAATAATAAATAAAATTAAAATATTAGGGATAAATATAAAATGACACGGCTTGTTGTTACAGTAATTTATTTATTTGTTTACTTCTTTAAATATTGACACCGCTTAGAAAATTGATGTGCATGCCACTAGGAAGACCAAGTTGTAGTTATAAATATAATAGGCGTAGGATGTTCCATCAAGTTAGAAGCTCAATTTTATGGAAGCCACAAAGTTGGGAATATCCATTAACACATATGTAGGATTTGAGAAGGTAAGGTTTTATGTCTTGTCCTTCATGTATTCTCCGGGGGTTCAATGCTTAACCATGAATGAGAGTTTTAGAGTAACGGTAAAGTTATTTCGACGTGATCTAAATGTTACAGGTTCAAGCCGTGAATCAGCCACTGAGCGTCAAATTAGGTTACTAACATCACATCCCTTTGGGTACGATCCTTCCCCAAATCCTACGTGAATGCATGATATTTTGTGCATCGGCTTGCCTCAATGCTTAACCATCCATCACGGCGAGGGCGAGGTGAATGCATGGGGAATTGGAGTTAGTAAAAAAAGATGGACTCTTTATAATGTTATAAGACACAAAAAGGACTGAAGAGGGAGATAAACACGAAGCACAATAATAATATTAGGATAAACTCTACTCTTTAGAAAACAATATTACAAAGAGGCTTTTATAGGTGCCAATAGTCTTCTAGAAGTATTTTTACAGACACACTATGAGCCTAACCACATTGATTTGATAACATAAAAGTAATACCTAGATAATACAAAAGACGATGACATAATTAGTAAATAAAAGGACATATATGCGCTTAGCCATAAAACATTTAAGTTCACTATTTCCAACAAACCATCCCAACAGATCTAAAATTATATTTCACCCTTTTTACTATAATTTGCAATCACTCATCCCTTCAGAGGATGCTCACCACGTCCGTATCAATATTCTTGAGTGTCTTAAATCATGTATAGAATTTCCATGTTCTACTCTCTACTCTCTAGGGTGTTAAACCCTCGCTAATTATTCAATTCCCATTTTTAAATAAAGTTGCAGTCCCAATCCCATAAGGGGACATCAGAAAAATCCAAATCATTTGAAGTTTCCACAGGTTGTGATGTAGGAGCATGCTCCTCTCCTGAAGATGAGCTTTCCATTAAGTAAGCATTGAGTGCGGGTAAATTTTTATCTTTTGAAGGACTAATATTCTGGTTTGACGGTGTAGCAGCCACATCATCTCCAGTATCATTTAGTGGTTGAGGGGGTACTGTTCCTTCAATAATACCAAAACCAGTTGGCCTTCTGTCAAATGCCCTAACACACTTTGATTTCTTGTAAACTCTGCACAAGCTGAATTCATGCCGCAACTGCATACAATTTGAATAGTTTTATAAGTTCTTGGCAACTAAAGTGAACACATGAATAACTAAATTAAACTGACAGTATATATCTCCACATTTTGACGAAGCAGTGTCGGATGATACCGGTGCATCCACGCCTAGCTCTATTCTCAACGCCGTAAAAAATATTTACTCAATCAAGTTCATTAGAATAAGGTAACTAAATGTAATTATCTTTGATAAGAATTAATAAGTAATGCTTGTAGTAGGGTAGACTATCTAAATCACATCCCTTGGGTGCTATTCTTCCTCGTACATTGCGTGAACGCGGGATGTTTTGTGCACCGAGGCTGCTCTTTTTTTTTTTTTTTT